TGGCCTTTGTCAAAAGTCCAGTGTGAAATAACCAGTCACTTAGTATCTGGCCTGGATAAAAACAGCTGATGCCCTAAACACTGCCTGTGACCTTTGAGTGGTGCCTGTTCTCTCTTCCAATGTTTCTCTTCTCTTTCTGCCCCCTTCATCTTTCCTTATGGTGCTTCCTTGGCCATTCCAATTATGCCTCCTCACCATACATAAAAAGTCAGGGGCATCGTTGAACACATAAATCATAATGCTAGTTGACTGTCTGGAATGATATTAATATCAAATGGTACAAACTAACTCCTAAAAATGCAGAGTTTGGTTCTTTTGTTGAATATGAAATCATGTAAAATATGATGGCTATATGTGCTTAGTGGCTCAGTGGGCTAAAACATGTGAGTGTTAACCCAGTGCCGCCGGGGATGGCATGTACGTATATGCCATGCCCACTGTGAGACGACTTGTTCGATTGTTTTTACATATAGATGGCTACACTTGTACTAAGTATCCAATCAGCCAATTATGAGTACTGCCTGTCTCGCCCGTTCACCCTTTTCATCGATTTACAAAAATATTTAACGTTATCCTAATTTGCCGTTAAAAATAACACCATCTATATTTATAGCACTAGTAAGAATACGTTTTTTCCCGCTAACTCAAGGAAAGGTGAAATCAGGACTAGCAGAGCCATCTATGGACAGAGATATTTCACAAAAATATAAAAAATGAGTACTGCATTTCCCCCATTTTTTGTTAATTTTCCCCGGCGGCAATGGGTTAATCTGGTGTTGAAGAGAACAAGCTTCTTTAGTATTTCTAGTGATTTGGACCCCAACTATTCCTAGTATATAGGGGAAGGTGGCTATCTATTTGTACTTTGAGGCTACACATCATCTGACACGTGGCCACCTTATCATTATCATAATGGCTGTGGCTTTGTTTATGGTATCGTAAAGCGATGTCTATTGACTATTATTCCAGAAGTTCCTGTCGTGCGTGTGCAGTGTGGAATTCTTGAGCTCTGCTGTAATCACAGTACCAAGTCAGTCACTACATTGTCTAATGCACTGGGCTGCTGCCCCCAACCCCTGCCCAGGAAAACAAAGAATCTTCCATGTATTCATGGCAGGAGAAAGCATTGGACCGACCATTAATTCAGTTATGCATAGCTTTCATATACGATTAACATAAGGGTGATTCTTGCTGAAATGACCACTATAAATACCAGCATAATGCCATTAACCTTAAAATGAATTAACAGCCTCATCCTCCCAAACAATTTACAGTACCTTCCCAAGGCAAATTCCCTATAAAAAAAATTGAAATACACTTTTTAAAAAATAACCACATGCCTTATCATTCCACTAACAAACAATTATATGGATAAAAATTAAAATACCTACCATACGAATTTTCCCCAAGTTGATCAAACGAGACACTTGGGAAAAACTTCCCCGTTAGACTCTCCACTGTGCTGGACACCAGACGTCTAGCATTCTCGTAATTATGAGCGTACAATTTGGACATTTTGTTCCTTTGGCAGCTTAGACCTCACTCTTCTTTCTTCTTTTATATCCCCTGGATCTATTTTCTTTCTTCTTTCTTCCTAGACCTCACTCTTCTTTCTTCTTTTATAGGGTGTTAGACTATTGTCTAGTCTATATCCCCTGGATCTATTTTCTTTCTTCTTTCTTCATAGACCTCTTCTTCTTATTCTTTTATAGGGTTTTCAACTTTTGAAGTCTATATTCCCTGGAGCTGTGTTTCTTGGTTCTTCTTTGTTGATTGAAGTTCTTTATATTATATCTATTATTTTTGATCTTTGTAGGAAGATCTTGAAGTGTCTTAATATATAGTATTTCTTAGCTGGTGAATATTCTGCGCCTGTGATTAAAAGAGACATATTTGGATTAATCATTTTTATTCTTTTTAGAAATTCAAATAGTTTTTTTTCGATGAGAATTGAATCTTGGGCATTGGAGTGTTAGGTGTTCTATGGTTTCTTCTTCATGTTGGCAACATCTGCATGTTGGGTCTGTCTCCATTTGTATTTTATGTTGTTTTAGTCTTGTGTGTTTTGTTTTTATACGTGATAAACAAACATCTAGTTTTCTGCTTTTTGATCTTGTCCAATGATTAGGTTTGTTATCTTTGATGTAATAGTTTTTTGTGTTTAATATTTCTGTTAGTTTTTCTTCCCATGTTTGTCTGTTTTTGTTTTTTATTTCTTTTATTACATTATTAATGTCTTTTGTTATGGCAATAGGATTTGTTATTTCATGTGCTTTTTTTGCTGCTTGATCTACTATTTCATTGCCGCTAATGCCTTTATGCGATGGGATCCATTGTATTTTGATGTTCTGTTTCTGCTTTGATAATGTGTGTATTGTTTGTTGTATTTTGTAAGTGATATGTTTGTGATTTTTGGGTCTGTGATTTACTATCAATTGTAATGCTGAATGTGAATCTGTGAAGATTACCGAGTTTGATATTTTATTGTTTTGAATATATTGCAGTGCTTGTTTTATTGCAAATAACTCTGCTTCAGTGATATTCATATTTTTTGGTAGCTTCCAGATTGTAGTAATATTTGCATTTTGAATATATATTGCTGCTGAAACTGATTCTGGTTCCTTTATTTTTGAACTGTCTGAGAAGATTTTTTGCTGTTCTCTAAATGTTATATTTTCTAACATCAGAAATTGTTTTTTAATTATCTGTTCTGGAAGGTCTTTTGGTTTGTTATTTATGAACTGAGTTTCTACATGTTGTGAGATATCATACCATGGTGGTACTGGGGTTATATTTTGTACTATATTAGTTGTTATATTGAGTTTTAATTCTTTACAGGTTTCTAATGCCCTGTAGATTAATAATCTTTTATCTTTCCTTGGATTATATTCATTGATATTCTTTATTACTATTTGTTTTAATGGTGTTTTATTTGGTTTCTCTAGTATTTTTGCTAGTTGTATACATTCTATTTTTTTTTTTCTTGTTTCTATTGGAATTATGTTGGTTAATGCATGAAGAGATACTATTGGGGTGGATCTAAATCAACCCGTTGCTATCCTTAATGCTAAATTTTGTACTGTTTCTAGTTTTTTTAATTCTGTTTTATGCATTTCCATAAATGGATATTCCATATTCTATCTGAGGTTTGATATATATATTGTAAAATCTTATTAATGTTTGTTTATTAGCACCCTATGTGTATGAAGATAGTTTTTTTTCATAATATCTATTCTTTTTAAAGATTTTATCTTTATATTTTCAATGTGTTCTCTCCAATTTAATCTTGGTGCATCAAATCTTAATCCTAAGATGTCATGCTTATTTGTAAATTCCATTTCTTTGTCATCTATATTTATGTTAGGTATATTTCTTATTTTTCTATGTGTAAAACACATTATTTTGCTTTTAGTTAAATTTATCTTTAGATCCCATGTGGTAGCCCATTCTTTAAAATGTTATAATGCTCTTTCTAGGATATTTGTTGTTTCTGTCAGATCTTTATTTGTGCTTATTAAGGTAATATCATCTGCATATATTACTTTATTTATGCTTCCTGGTAGTTTTAAATCTGTTATCATTATGTTAAACAATGTCGGGCTTTTTGGAAATCCCTGAGGTACGCCGCTTGACGTTTTTCCTTTTTTAGATATTTCATCACCTATTTTTATTTGGAATGTTCTTTCTTTAAGGAAATTGTAAGTCCAATTTAATGAGTTTCCTGTAATTCCTAAGTTTGACATTTTTGTTAATAAAGCATCATGGTTTACAGTGTCGAATGCTTTTTCTAAATCTATACAGGCTAGTAATACATATTTTTTCCCTTTAATTGCGTTGTTTATGTGTGCATCTATTACTTGCAGAGCATCTATCGTACTTTTATTGGGTCTAAAACCTGTAAGGCCTTCATCTAATTTGTTGTTTATTTCTAACCACCAATTTACTATTTTTGTTATTATATTTTCGAAAATTTTTCCCAGGGTTGTTATTCTACTGATAAATCTGTAAGATTTTGTCTCTGATGGATTTTTGCCAGGTTTATTAATTGGATTTATTATAACATTTTTGAATTCCTGTGGGTATTCTCCTTTATTCCAGTAGTGGTTTATTTCTTTTAATATTTTCTGTATTATTTTTTGTGGAGCATATTTATAAAATTCGTAAGGAATTTCATCTGGGCCATATGCTTTATTTCTTTTACTATTTCTTATTGCTGAAGTCAATTCATTAATTTTTATTTCTTTATTTAGATCCATGTGATTTGGGAGTTTTAATATTCTCTCTCTCTCTTCATCTGTTAGTATTTTCTTGGGGGTCTTATTTACTGCATTTTCGTATTCTTTTTTGAATAGTGCTAGTTTTTTCGGCATTTCCGATACTGGGAGGTTATTCTCTATTAGTGGAAATTTTGTTATAACTGTTTTACCTGTTATTTTTTTTAAAGAAATTCCATATTTTTTTTTTGAAGAGTTTTGAAATCTAATGTGCTACAAAAATTTTCCCATGATTCTCTTTTCTCTCTTTCTATTATTTGTCTTGTTTTCATCACTAATATTTCATAATCTATTTGATTTTCTTTATTCGTTTTTTTCCTCCATGTATTAAATGCACTATTTCTAAGTTTTATTAATTCATTGCATCTCTCATTCCACCATGGTTTATTCGCTTTGTTTTTATTGATATTCTTATCGAATTTAAAACATTGTAATCCTGTTTTTCTTAAAAGATCTATGATTTAATTTAGGGACTTTACGTTTTCTATATCTTTGTCTGTCAATTTTCTCTAAAATTTATCCCAACCCTCTTCTGTGTAGATCCATTTTTTTTCTTTGGAATGAGTATCTTTCATTAATTTACTATCTTTTATAATTATTGGAAGATGGTCACTTCCTAGATTTGGGCCTGTTTCTATTCTAAATGGGTTAGCGATGGTGTTGCTAATACCAGGTCTATTGTTGTTTCTTTTGCACTTTGGGGATCGATTCTTGTCGTTAAGCCTGGTGGTGTTAATATAATTATATTATTTTGGTTAGTGATTTCAAAAATACTTTTTCCAGTTTTGTTTGCCAATTTTGCTTTTAATTTTGGATTCCAAGTAGTATGGTGTGCGTTGAAATCTCCAATGATTATTTTTGGGTCTTCAATTTGTTTTATATAATACTCTAGTTCTTCTGTTTTTAGATTGTTGCAAGGATTATATTATTATCAATAGAACATTGAGCCATTTGTTTTATAATTGATCTTTATTCTATTGTTTCTATTCTATTGCTGTATCTATCATTTAATGTTATGGATTTAAATTGTATGTCATTTTTAATACAAAAAGCTAAGCCTCCTCCTATTTGATCTACCCTATCTTTCCTGATTACTTGGTAATTTTGCAAGTTAAATTTATCTTTACATTTTAGCCATGTTTCGCAAATTCCTATTATATCTGGCTGTTCTTTGTTTAACAAGTGATATAATTCTGTCTTTTTATTTTGAATTGATCTTATATTCCACAAGATTATTTTATTCATTAAAGTGTTTGATCAAGTTTTTAACTATTAGCAATATTTCTTTAATGGCATCTGTGATTATTTCTATCATTGATTTTTCTGAATTCATATTGGTTAGTACATTTGTAATTATGTTGGCCATTTCTTATATTGTTTCTATCCATGAGAAATCTTTTGTTTTTGTTTGGTTTTCATTTTGTGTGACTTTGAATTTGATTAAGAGGTCTCAGTTTGTTTACATCTTTGACCTCAAATCTAATAACTTTCCCAGTTCCCAGTACTCTTAAGGAGTCTTCAATGATATACTTTTGTAATTCAGATTTGTTTATGGATTCGGTTAATTTTATGGGATTGTTGAAATTCAATGTTTTTGTTTCACCAGCTAAGCGTATAATGATAACATTAGGGTTATCTTGCCTGTTTACTGTTGGGTCTTCGGCTGAGCTTCCGTGCTGTTCCTGCCGGGTTCGGGTTTTCTTGGATGCTTGGGGTTTGGGTCTTGTTCGCTGTCACTACTTTCTCTCGGTCTTCTATTTGATTGGAAATCATAAATCATTTCATTCTGGGATCCAGGCTTTTCTCCTGGTTCTGGATTAAGTTCAGTGTCCATTAAAATTCTTATGTTCACTGCATTCAAAATTCAAAGTTATATGGATGTTCTCTCCGTGAAGGTTCGGACGGTTCTCCTTCATAGACCTCGCTCTTCCGCCACGCTGGACCGGGATTGTTTACAAACAAACTCAGCTGAGCGTTTCCATAGCAACGGACATCACAGAAAATGAATGCTCGGGCTCTTATAAGGGGGATCTTATGTAAAATATCAAAGTTTTATTAGTAAAGTACTTATCTATGTCATAAATGCCTTTTCTATACTAATATCATCATTATCAGATAATCATCATAATTTCATATGATGATTGCTAATATCACAATCATTATTAGCTTGTGGTTGCTGTTGTTTTTCCTTTTCTTCTGAATATTATTGTTACGTTGTGAACATGATTGCGGTTGTTATTTTCATTATTATCAGGACAATCATCATTATCACTGTTATCATTAGCAATATAATTATTGTTGTTGGTGTTGTTATCATTATCAGTTCTTATTATTCATTTTATCATTACTACTATTATCATTACTATTATTATTATCATTATTATTATTATTATCATTATTATTATTATCATTATTATTCCCATTGTTATTTTCAGCATCATAATCATTGATATTATTACTAACATTATCATTATCATTATTTCTATCATTGTCATTGATATCATTGTTATCGTTATTATTATCATTTAGATATTACTATCATTATTACTGTTGTTGTTATTATTGTTGTTATCATCATTATTATTACTATAATTATCGTTATTATCATTGCTGTTGTTATTATTACCATTATTACTTTTATTCTTTTCACAGCGCAAGAGATGTAATTAGCTTGTTTCATATGTGTGTGTGTGTGTGTTCGTGTGGTTGTGTTGTGAGTGTGCGTGTGTGTGTGTGTGTGTGTGTGTTTAAGGAAAGCAAGTCAATAATTTCGGATACATCTAATAGGAATTTACTTTATTGTGGAAAATAAATACAGAGCCTGCATCAACATGAACAGGTACATATCAATATGTTTATTATTAGAAATGTAGAAAGGATATAAGGCATATAATGTTTTATTATTAAAGGTTATGAATCTAGTAATAATATCAACATGATATAACTCAAGGAACTAGCATCATTACGTTCCATATACTGCTTATTTCTTCTCCATAAACCGAAGATATAGTAATATGCTGCCGTCAGTTGATTTTTCTGTTGCAGATGGAACTTCAGTCTCACCTACAGACAAGCACTGGAATATGGACCGTAAAAAGTACTTCACTGCCCACAGCTGTCGTGAAGAATAGCCCATTTCGAGTGCCAATGGACTTAGGCCTTTTAGTCGAAGAAAAGTATAATATCGGTGTTCGCTGCTTCGTCTGCTGTCGTATTTGCATTTTCGCCTCGATTCGGTTGCTCGTTATTATCCCTAACAGCATCAGCAGTGAGATGGGAGTTCCTGGAACCCGACCTCTGAAGTAGATCCATAATGCCAAACTCCCCCGTAAAAGTAAGAGTGCCAGTACCATCAGGGTCATCGAGATTAGCTGCGTCTTGTCCCACCGTCGATGGCTGATCGAAGTCCCCGTCCTGCGCTCTTCGGCTTGCCACACTTCCGCCAGGTGACCTCGCACGCACTTCCTTCTTCTGGGGGCTGTTGGGGGCTATATAACCCGTGATCCAGTCCAGGTAAGAAGAGACCCTCGTGTACACGCCCAGGAGACCACAGGGGGAATTCGCTCCGATGCCGAAACTCACCACGCCCACCACGGTATACTCGCATAGGCTGCCGTTGCGTTCTTCTCTGTCCACCAGAGGTCCTCCGCTGTCGCCCTGGAGGATGGCGAGAGAAGGGGGCGTGTTGAAAGTTGTGGTTATCTTATCATTAACTGTATGATTTTTTGAATTATTCCTTTTATATGATGATTTAGTTATCAATTGTTATGGGTCTTTGAATTTCTATTACATGACTATTTTCTGTAATATATGACCATTTGTTATGATTACAGGTAGACTACTGATTTATGATTTTTAGCAAGTATGATGTAAATTAAAATTGTGTGATATATTGGAATATTTGTTGATCTTGTTGCAAGAATGACAGTACAACTTGACTAATTTCTAGTTAACGGCAGCACAGTCCTTAGGTCATTTTTTAGATATCGATCACATACGATAATACATAAGATGAATCATCTTCGAAAACATTATGTTAAAGTAAACGATTTCTAATACAGTAATCACTTAGAAAATCCTGGTTTGTAAAGATAGAAATTTGATCCACTATTGCTTTTTTAAACTTAATTCTAGGGAATAAAACACTGAGAAAGTCATGGGAGAAATCGCGATAACACGTCTACGCATATTTTCTGTAACACCGTTTTCATTACCTAACTAACTAAACAAAAAAATGCAACTTGATACCAGACGCCCTTTTCCTCACCTGGCACGAGTCACGCCCTTCCGTTCCGGCGCAGAGCATGTCCTGCGTGATGCCGAAGGGGATGGTGTAGGGGCTGACGACCTTGAAGGAGCAGGTGAGACGATCCACCACCGGCACTGACGCCTTCTTCAGGATACGAGACATCTCAGTCATCCCTGTGGAGGCAGGAAGCGTTTCAGAGGATGTGACAGGGAGGATGAACAAAGAGAGATTATTGGTAAAAGGGGAAAGACGAGAGGAAAAAAAAAAAGCATTTTGTGGTGCGCTTGATCATTCCCATAAGCAAGAATTGTCCTCTCGTAATTACAAGAGTACAAGCATATCTTTCATGATATGATGCAATGTAAAAAAAACAACAAAAACCTTGAATATTGTTCTCAAGACGTCACTGAACGTAAAATGGCGTACCTTCAGTGTGTCCCCAGCCCACCACAGTCAAGCTCCTCCCACGATAGTCTTCTTTGGGGTTGGTGGGCAGACAGGCCGGTAGCACCCGTTTCGTGAGCACCGCCTGTAGAAGAACACGAAGCTTGATATTACACATGTCGTTTACTGATGTTGGTTAAACCATTTTCATTGTTCGATGGCTATATATTAATGTATGTATATATCTGGTTATAGCTATTCATCTATCTTGTGGAAGTCTGAGTAAGACTCACTCTCTGTCTCTGACTCTGTCTCTCTCTCTCTCATATTCATTACCTCACACGCGCATTCACGCTTACTATCTCACTCTCTCTCTCTTTTCCCCTTCTTTCATATGGATTATCTCATTTACACTCATCTATTCATTCTTTCTCTCTTTCTCTTCCTTCTTTTATATGGTTCATCCTCGACGCAACCATTCGCTCATTCTCCCATTCGCAGTCACTCACTCACTCACGCATTAGCTCTTATTCCCTTTCTTCATCTATTCATACGCATTATTTTACTTACACACTTCTATCCCACTCTCGTTCTTTCTCTCTCCCTCCCTGTTCTCTCTCTCTCTCTTTCCCTTCCCTCCCCCTTTTCTCTCTCCTCTCTCTCTCTCATATTCATTACCTCACACGCGCATTCACGCTTACTATCTCACTCTCTCTCTCTTTTCCCCTTCTTTCATATGGATTATCTCATTTACACTCATCTATTCATTCTTTCTCTCTTTCTCTTCCTTCTTTTATATGGTTCATCCTCGACGCAACCATTCGCTCATTCTCCCATTCGCAGTCACTCACTCACTCACGCATTAGCTCTTATTCCCTTTCTTCATCTATTCATACGCATTATTTTACTTACACACTTCTATCCCACTCTCGTTCTTTCTCTCTCCTCCCTGTTCTCTCTCTCTCTTTTCCCTTCCCTCCCCCCTTTTCTCTCTCCTTTCCTCTCTCTCTCTCCTTTCCCCTCCATCTTTCTCCTCTCTTTCTCATTTCTCCTCTATCTTTCCCCTCTCTCTCTCCTTTCCCCCTATCTTTCCCCTCGTTCTCTCCTTTGCCCTCTATCTTTCCCTTTTCCCCTCTCTCGTCTTTCCCCTCCACAACCCACCGGCTTCTTGAGCTTGGCGAGAGCGATGTCGTGATAATTGAACCTCCTTGGATAATGCGGGTGGATGAAGTCGAATTCCACCTCAATCTCCTGTTCCACCGGCGCCGTCTCATCCTCCGCGCCCTCGCCCTCCACCTCCTCCTCCAGCGGCCCCGCCCGGTAGAGGGAGGGAGGGCGTGTCCCCTTCAGCCGCGGGATGCGTTGGGAGGCGTTGTAGTGGCGGTCGTGCTCTCCAAGCTTCACCCAGTACGTGACGCCTTCGCTGGAATGGAAATTGTTATTATTATTATTATTATTATTATTATTATTATTATTATTATTATCATTATTATTATTATCGTTTTTTAAGTTCTAATTTTAAATCAGTTTTCTTGAAATGGTTGTAGGGTCAGGTAGTGATATGGATATGATGGTAGAAGAGAAAAATGCTGGTGAAATAGGTTTGTTTGAGAGGCGATGGCTGAGAGACTGATATAGATACCATTATCTGGCATTATTATTAATCTCTCTCTCTCTCTCTCTCTCTCTCTCTCTCTCTCTCTCTCTCTCTCTCTCTCTCTCTCTCTCTCTCTCTCTCTCTCTCTCTCTCTCTCATTTTCTATCCCTCACTCCCTTTCTTTCTCTCCCTATCCCTCACTCCCTCCTTCCCTCTCACACTCTCTCTCTCCTTTTTTCTCACTCTTCCTCGCTTCCTCTCTCCCTTTCTCTATCTCCCTCCCTCCGCCTCTCTCCTGTGCGTGTGACGTTATCGACAGTGTCCGAAGGGCGGTTTTACAACACAGCGGGAAGTCTCGGCGGCAGAGAAGCAACAGCAACTCATAAGTGCGGTGGGACAACAACCGGGCGAGTCTCCGCGGGTTTCAGGGCTTATTTTGATAAATCTTCTGAGTGTAGCCGCTGGTGTGGTGATTGTAAGGATCAGAGTGTCAAGGACTATTTGAAGCGGTCTGAATTATCCCTCGCAGGGGACGGCTTTTATGTAAATCTAAGGCAACGGTGAGCTTTCATTCCAAGTGGATAAGGAGGGCGGAGTTTGGTGAATAAATGCATAAGTTGAATAATTGATAAGAAAAAGGGTCTAGGACAAACAGACGATAAACTCGTTGGAGAAGCTTGTCCTGTTGTCATAGTCCGAATGCCACATGACAGTCTCGAGGTGGCAGAATAGAGAGAACTTTACAAGTTATATAATTAGGGTTTATTGATATATTTATGGTGGGTACATATTAGTTACGGATACATATGTAGAATATTAATGTGATAATATTCATATAAATATATTATACGTTAATATGATCAAATATAATTAAACGTTAACAGCGATACGTATGACTCATATTGGCCAGATTTGAAGTCATAGATTAAAGGGCTGAATCCACTAATTGGATGGTAAGATTATAGACAGACAATTACAAAAGCTGACGATAGTATTAAAATATTAGAGTTTTAAACTTTGTCAAAATTTGCATAACCAGTGATTAATAAATTTCTTATATATTCATTTGGTTATTACTGTCTTTTAAGAATATACATAAAATCTCTAAAGATTTATAATAAATCGTATGCGCCGCAATTCACGTGCAACAAATTCCAGGACACCATTATGCATGGATGATTTAACTCTCGTTCGCTCACACATTCGTCGTTTCTGTTTACACTTGAACGATATTCCGCATTCTCTGTTAAATACTTAAGCTCAGATTTAATGACCCTCGACACCGAACTCAGTTTTCTTGCTTTTTACATATTACTGTTAGAGTTAGAAGTATATATTTGCAGTTTCTGAATCTCGACGTTGATATCACATACACTGTTATTATTGTGGTTACTGTACTGCTTACATCCTTTGAAAGACACACACGTGTAATTTTCCTGTTTTATTTTGCTGTTTTTTTGTTTTGTTTTGTTTTCTATACCGGATTTCAAAATGTGATTATGACAGGAACTACTGAGAGATATTATCTAGAGATATATATATTTCCTATTCTTATCTTTAATATAATTTCCATTAAATACTCATGTCATTCAATATATCCATTATCTTGTTCTATATAATGTACCCATTAGTATATTCTACATAAATACATGCCAATCCATTTGCCACACACATAATATCACACTCATATAGGCAAATGCATATAAGTATATTCAAAGCTCCACTTCCTGTCATATCCGTTAGATAACCTTAGACCAATGTCATATTGTTAGAATGTCCTACTGCTTTCGTCATCTCCCTTCTCGGTAGTCAGCCCTCACTACAACGTCATTTCTGTATATGCTTGGTAAATGAAGAAATCAGGAAATCACGGCTGTGTTTCTACGTCTCCTAAGATCAACATTTAATATATTCTTGTAGGGACGAAACTCCTGGGCTCCCATACTCTAATTGTCTGTTTGTTTGTCTGTCTTTCTATGTCTGTCTGTCTTTCAGTTTGCCTGTCTTTCTATGTATGTCTGGTTGTCTGTCAGACTGTTTGTCTGCCTTTCTCTCTCTCTCTCTCTCTCTCTCTCTCTCTCTCTCTCTCTCTCTCTCTCTCTCTCTCTCTCTCTCTCTCTCTCTCTCTCTCTCTCTCTCTCTCTCCCTCTCTCTCCCTCTCTCTCTTTCTTCCCTTCTCCTTCCCTTCCTTTCTCCCTCTCTCCTTCCCTCTCCCTTCCTTTCTCCCTCTCTCCTTCCCTCTCCCTTCCTTTCTCCCTCTCTCCTTCCCTCTCCCTTCCCTCTTCCTCTCCCTTCCTCCTTCCTCTCCCTCTCCCTTCCCCCCCTCCCCCTCCCTCTCCCTTCCCCCCTCCCCCTCCCTCTTCCCATCCCTCCCCCCCTTCCTCTCCCACCAATCACTCACAATCTGCTGATCCGTCAATCCATACTACCATCTCTACTCATCTATCTGTCTCACCTGTATCCAAAGAGGCAGTGGGCGGCGGTGAGGACGTAATGTGGTGATATGAGTGTTCCCCCACATTCGTATACAACAGGTTCGTTGCCCCACTTCCGTCCAAGTATAGCCTGTGGAGTATTAAAAGAAATGTAAGTGTGGAATTAACGTATGTCATGTCATAAGGAAGGAAATGATGTCATTTGATTGATGTTTGACTGAAACATGGCAGAGGTAAATGATATACTATGTCTCTCTGTTTTTATTTCTGTCTCTGTCTCTGTTTCAGTCTCTCTCTCTCTCTGTCTTTGTCTCTCTCTCTCTCTCTCTCTCTCTCTCTCTCTCCCTCTCTCTCTCTCTCTCTCTCTCTCTCTCTCTCTCTCTCTCTCTCAATCTTTCTCTCTCTCTCTCTCTCTCTCTCTCTCTCTCTCTCTCTCTCTCTCTCTCTCTCTCTCAATCTTTCTCTCTCTGCTTCTCTCTCTTTCTGCTTCTCTCTCTCTCTACTTCTCTTTCTCTCTGCTTCTCTTTCTCTCTGCTTCTCTCTCTCTCTATCCTTCTCTCTCTCTCTCTCTCTCTCTCTCTCTCTCTCTCTCTCTCTCTCTCTCTCTCTCTCTCTCTCTCTCTCTCTCTCTCTCTTCCTTCATCCCACTTTCTATCTCTCTCTCTCTCTCTCTCTCTCTCTCTCTCTCTCTCTCTCTCTCTCTCCTCCCTCCCTCCCTCCTCCCTCCCTCCCTCCCTCCCTCCCTCCCTCCCTCCTCTCTCTCTCTCTCCTCCCACGCTCTCTCATCCTCTCTCTCTATCTCCACGAACAACGTTATTTCACGAACGCGCTTCCGGCGGCTCGTTTACCCAGGGGCTTTTCCCTTCAGTTTGACATGTTCTGATTTCCTTTTGGTTTTAATTTTAAACTTATCTTAGGGATGTCACGTGCAGTAGGTGGTCCCCTAAATTTCCCCCTGAGAGAGGGAGGAAGTGAGAGAGTGGGAGTGGGAGTGGGAGAGAGAGAGGGAGAGGGGAGAGCGAGGCAGAGACCTATATACACACATACACACACATACAAATACACGTGTGACCTATATACACACACGAAAGCAAGCACGCACGCATCCACACACCCACATACACACACACACACACATACACACACACACACACACATAGCGAGAGAGAGAGAGAGAGAGAGAGAGAGAGAGAGAGAGAGAGAGAGAGAGAGAGAGAGAGAGAGAGAGAGAGAGAGAGAGAGAGAGAGAGATACACACAAACAGAAAGAGAAAGAATTACAGAGATAGAAAAAATGGAACTCAAAGTAAACAAGCTAATAAAAAGAACACAGGAAGGGAAACACACACACAAGATCAAGACGGAAGGGAAGGGCTTCCTCACCGTATGCGGGAATTCCCCAGGGTGGGCGTCTTCCCCGCCCACGATGAGCGGTTTCTCGGTCACGCACCGCCCATCTTCTTGCCGCCACAGGTCCGCCCACGACTCGCAAACTGAGGTGATAAGAAATGAAATTAGTGCATCCATAGACCACAGAATAGCAATCTCGTTGATTACAATTTATTTATCTGCATTTATCTTTCTATCTATTTCAATCTGTCTATTTATCTATTTATCTGTCCATCCAAGTCAATCTATCCAAAACTATGTATTTATTTGTCCAAAGTCATCTATTTATCTATCCAAATCTATCCATTTATCTATCCAAATCTAATTATCTATCCAAATCTATCTATCTAATCTATCAATCTATCTGCGTATGTATCCATTCATTACACTTCACAGAATATTCGTCCCTGGCCATTGAAAAAGCCAACAGAGGCAATCATGTTTGTACATCCCACAGAACAGAGCCAGCAAGCATTCACATCAGTTTCATTTCCTGTCCCTCAATTATCTATCTAGGCTGGCGTGGGTGCATATGGACGGGCGATTCACGAGCCTGTTTGTCTCCTTTCTCCCTACCAACCAACACGGGCCTGTGTGTTCGTTTATGTATTTATGAATGGATGGGTTGATCAGCAAATAACGAAGTGAATGGGGTATGTATGTTTAAACAGAT